TATAATTCCCACATTCTCCAAGCCACTATACCACTCAGTCTCTGGCCACTCTCCCTCCCCTCAGCACTCTTTTATCTCCCATTTAGTTGTGGCAATTCACTGCAACAGCTCACAGAACTCACAAACTATAGCTATACTTAAATGGTTCATTAAGGAAATAACAGAGTACAGGATTGTATTTACAGTTAAGTGGCTTATTAAGGAAGTAACAGTGTACAACTCAGAATCAGGAAACATGAAGTCAAAATCTTCCCTTTTAGTGAAGGAGAGCTCTCTCAGCTCCTCTCAGCCTTGCAGGTGTCCTCGGGAACCCCTCAGGACAGGCTTCTCTTGACCCTGCCATCTATCACTGCCAACAGTGCCACTGGGCCCCTTTGGGACTCTCACTGCCTTCAGTGTTACAGCCCTTAGCCTGTAGGACAGCTCTTTTGGGAGATTCCTCTCTCCTCTCCCTGACTCTGCTTCTTTCTTTTTACTTTCTTCTTCTTCCTGCTGCTTCTCTTCCTGCTTCTTTCTGTTTGAAAAACCTCTGGGGACCTGGCTACATTTACAGTTAACCCTTGAACAACACAGTTTGAACTGCAAGGGTCCACTTCTATGCAGATTTTGAAATCATCTCCACATGAGCAGTTCCTCTCCAGTAATTTGCACACATTAAAAGACGATCTCTCCTGGTTCTCATGTATTTTTCATCATGTTTAGTGTGATACCTTAAACCTTGAATAACTCCATGGGACCCATAATGAAGTGCAACTAGGGATGTCAGAAGTGCTCCCAAGAAGCAGAGAATGAATAGTCGTGACATTACAAGAAGAAGTTGAATTGTTTGATATGTATTACAGATTGAGGTCTGCACCTCTGGTTGCCCCTCATTTCAAGATAAATTAATCCAGTGTAACAATCGTTTAAAAAAAAAAAAAATGAAGCTGTCATTACAGCCACACAGCAGGTGTGAAAACCTGTACTCTTTGTAAAGTAACTTTATCATGTATTGAAATGCAGCTTTTATATGAATGTAATATAATACATTTGTTGTTGTTGTTGCTAAGTGCCATCAAGTCTATTCCAACTCATACAATCCTGTGTAGGGTTTCTGAGAAGCAGCTGGTGGGTTTGAATCACCGCCCTTGTTGTTCACAGTATAGTGCTTATCCTATAGCACCATAAATACGTATAACCTATGAAATATGTGTGCATTGACTATTTATGTTATCAGTAAAGCGTCTGTTAACATTAGATTGTTAGTAGTTCAGTTTTTGGTGAGTTAAAAGTTATGTACAGATTTTTACCTATTCAGGGGTGAAAGAGTAGCAGAGAGTGGGTACCTCTAACATTCCCACTCCTCCTTGTTCAGGGATCAACTGTATACACAACTCCTTGCCAATTTCAAGGAATGGCTCCTGGGGGGAAGTAGGGAGAGTGGCACAAATTAACCAATCCCTTCTCAGTAGGCCACAGATACTTTATCTACATAGTAGGCTATAGTCATCTCATTTGCATAGTCCATAGTCACTTCATTTGCATGGGTATATTGACCAATCCCTGCAAGGTGCATAGCAGTTATAGTGCAGAAGGCAAACCACTTGACAAAAAAACAAGCTGTTTATAGCTTGCCAAATAAATGTTAGTCAACCTGGACAAAAGTAACAAACCCTCTGGGTAGAAAACTAGGACAAAGGTAACTAACTCCTCAAGCCTTACAGGAAAGATCTCTCAAGCTGTTTTTCCAAAGAACCAAGACAAATTACCACATTAAGGAAGTCATTTCATGACACCGGCATTTCCTCTACCCCTTGAATGTGCCTCTCATTATCACTTTATAGCATCTCTGTCATTTCTCCTACTGGTCAACAAGGGTATGTGGGATATTTATGCCTTGAGATTCATACTTCCCTCTCCCCATTCACCCTTGCAGAGAGTCCCTGGGGGCTGCCTGTGGTAGCTGATGGTCCAGCTTCCTTTGCAAAAGAGGTGATGTCAGAGCTGGCCAGTCTGGAGTTAGAAAACAAGCCATGGCCTAGAGGTAAGACCCCTGTGCTGCCTGCTGAAGAAGAGACAGGAATAATAGAAACCCAAAGCCTCCAGCCTTCAGGAGGAGAGAGGATGCATAGTCTGGGAATCTGAGTAGACCCTCTCAAGGGAAAGGTAGGGAACACAGGAGGGTGTCTAAGGCTGTGTCCCAGCCCATAGAGGGCTGACCCCCTCACTCAATCACCTCTAGCCTCTCCCACCAGCTCTCTCCATCCCTTGTCCACGTCCCTCTTAAGAATAGGAAGGGGGAGAGTAACAAGAATTGTGGTATCTGTAAAGTCTTCCTCCATATCCATATTTCTTCCTTACATTCATGATTTCACTTAATACTCATAGCACTGTGGAGGGTTAATTGCCCCTACTTTACAGATGTGGAACCCAAGACCTGGAGTTCCTAAATAGCATCTGCAATGCCACACAGCTAGAGAGTGGCAATGCCAAGAGTATTGTGGGAGGTGGAACAGATGCAAAATAGTCTCCTGGGGAGGTGCTGGAGGGAGAGACCAATCATCTCCTTCCCCTTCCCTCAGTTAAAGAAATAATGCACTGGATCACAAGATCAGTTTGGACCACAAGGTCAGCAGTTCAAACCCACCATCTGCTCCGTGGAAACCCTATACAGAATTGCTATAAGTCAGAACTGACTCGATGGCACGCAACAACAACAATAACAGCATGCTTAAGTGTAGTGGGAGACTGGCTGCTCTTTGTTGAGAAGGGGTTGGCAGTAACCAGGAGGGATAGTGGAGGGCTGATGACAGAGACCCTGAGGCATGTGACCAATTCCTTAAGCAATGTCACCACCATTGAGTTGCCATGGAGTTGATTCCAACTCATGGCGACCTCATGTGTTACAAACTGCTCCATAGGCTTTTCAAGGCGGTGATCTTTCAGAAGCAGATCTACAGACCTTCTGAGACGCCTCTGGGTGATTCAGTTAGTAACTGAGTGCTTAACCATCTGTACCACCCAGGGACTTCTGGCAATATCACAGCAGAAGCAAATTCCCCAGAATGTTTCATGCAGGCCCCCTTCCTCCTACCTTAGTCCTACAGTACTTGACGCTGACCTATCTGTCACTTCCATGAGCCTGGCAGAGAGGGTGACCTCTACAATTCCAGGGGAGGTAATCTGGTGATTGCTTCCTTGGCTTTTTCTGTCCCTCCCTGGGCTTGGGTGGTAACCAGGTGGTAGTCTAGGCCTAGTTGAGACCTCTTCCTGGGATAGAAGATGGGTGTGGGCAACCGCTGAGCTCTCATGGAGAACAGGCTGTGTTTTATCTGATAAAGCAGACAACACTGGGATTTTCAGGAGAGGAGAGTTGATGGGCCCCTCACTGGGATGTAGAAAATAGTACCTAGAAGTCAACAGTGTGAGGGGGCCACAGTCATGAGTTTGTCCTCAAAAGAGTTTCCTGACACCCAGGATGGACACCAGATGCCAGAACGTAGGGAGGGCTGGGTCAGAAGTTATATCCACATCATTGGATGAACCCAAACAGGATCCAGAATTCAACCTTCTTAAACCTTCACTACTACTACACTCATTCACATCATTTTTTTTTTTCCCTTCCTACATTATTGCAATATCCTTCAAACATTCTAAAAATGTTTCTGCCTCAGGACCTTTGCACATGCAGTTCCCTCTGCAGTCCTATAATGGTTTCTCCCAGATCTTTGCATGCCTGACTCCTTCAGATCTTTACTCAAAAGTCTCCTTTTTGGAGAGGCCTTCCCTAAACTCAGTCAGAAATATAAAAGCCCTTCCCTAACATTTCCCATTTCCCTGCTTTATTTTTCTCTCTCATCAGTCCTTATTGCTGTCCAGCCTATCATACATTTTACTTGTTTATCTTGTTTGTCAGAGTCCTGGTGTGGCACTGTGGGTTAACCTGCTGGATTGCAAAGTTGCTTTGAACCACAAGGTCAGTGGTTCAAGCTAACCAGTCACTCCTCGGAAACCCTAAATAGGTTCAAAATGGGACGGAACCGACTTGATGGCACTTAACAACAACAACAAAAATCTTGTTTATCATGTCAACTTTCTGAGAGCAGAGATTCCAGGATGTTCTGTTTTTCATGGTATCCCCAGGCCTACAAGACTGCCAAACACACAGTTGTTGTTTAGTGCTGTTGAGTCCATTCCAACCCATAGTGACCCTGTATAGGGTATCTGAGGAGCAGTTGGTGAGTTTGAACAGCCTACCTTGCAATTCAAACCAGCTTTGCAATCCAGCACATTAACACACAATGCCAGACCAGGACTCCAAACATAGTTGTTGTTGTTGTTAAGTGCCATTGAGTCAGTTCCAACCCACAGAGACCCTGTATAGCGTTTCCAAGGAGTGGTTGGTGAGCTTGAACCACCAACCTTGCAGCTCAAACCAACTTTGCAGTCCAGCCCATAAACCCACAGTGCCACACCAGGGCTCCTAAACACATAGTACTGCTCAGAAAGCATAGCTGAGTTGGGGAAAGTGGAGTATAATTCATCAGTGGGTCATATAGTTTAGGCCAAGATATGGGTAGACCTTCACACTCTGTTAGTCTGGCTCTTTTGATTGAATTCTTCTCTCAGATCAATGCCTTCACTGCAGTTTCTGTGACTCAGACTAATTATTAGTAAGCTTGGATTTTCCATGTGACTATTTTCTTTCTTAGCAAAGGATGACAATATCATTCCGCTCCATAATTTCTACCACATAAACTGTCACTCTTACCCTATCACTCCACTGCTCTGACAACCTCAGTCTCCCAATATTCTGGCCTGATCCTTTTTCACCATCAGCTGATCATTTAATTCATTTCTATAATCCAGAGTGTCCCTCAATCTCATATTCATAAATCTATATAAGGGGGCCTAAAACACACTTTTAACATGATGATGTGAATCATAGTTTTACATCTAAACCCTCCTCAAATACTCTCATTAATAATTATACCATATCGTAGGTGTGCTGAATTTTGAAAATTATGACGATTTGTCTTTATAGCTTGAATCAGGATAGGCTGCTGAATGGATTTTGTCTCTGAAACCAAGCAAATTGACAAGTGTGGGCCTCTGAAGACACAGTACAGAGCAACCTTAGGCAGCATTTGGATTTAAGGAGAAAAGAGATGGACTAGCAATGTGAGTTGTGGGAGCAGTAAGGGAAATCAAATGCTGTTAACTTAGCAAGACAGATTTTAAGATCAGAATGATGGCTGGCCTTTATCAGTCATCTTTGAAAAATGAATGTTGTTAGGTGCCATCAAGCCGATACCGACTCATAGTGACCCTATGCACAACAGAACAAAACACTGATTGATCCTGTGGCAACCTCATAATTGTTGCCATGCTTGAGCCCATTGATGCTGCCACTTTGCCAACCCATCTTGCTGGCTTCCTCTTTTTCTCTGACCCTCCACCTTACCAAACATGATATCCTTCTCCAGTGACTGCTCCCTCCTGACAATATGTCCCAAGTACGAGAGACGAAGTTTGGCTATCCTGGCCTCCAAGGAGCACTCTGGTTGCACTTCTTCCAACACAGATCTGTTGGTTCTTTTGGCAGCCATGGCATGTTCAACATTCTCCTCCAACACCATAACTCAAAAGCATCAATTCTTCTACAGTCTTCCTTATTCACTGTCCAGCTTTCATATGCATATGAACAATTTCACATGAATCAAGCTTCTAAAATAATCAGATATTTTTTATCATATTTTTTTAAATTGTGAGGTGGGAAACCAGATAATCACATACTTATTAGAGATGAATGTAAAGTATGGATAAATGGACCCTAAGTGAGGGTCTAAGAGCCTTTCTAGGCATAAAGCCCATAAGTCTTAGTACATGAACATTGGCCTCAAATTGTATTGATTTGATTATTTGTCTAGACTATTTGGATGCTCTTTCTTTTCTTTTTTTTTAACCCAAATTTCCCAGGTTTTGATCCTGTTAATAATACGGTCTGGTAGGTTTCCACTCCCTTCACCTCCCAAACCACCCCCAGTCCCATCAACTCTATTCTGATTGCAGATCACATCCATGTTTCTGCAGGGACCCACTCTCTACATTACTACTACCTGACCCTGTCAGACCCAGGCCCGGACCTCCCTCCGTTTCTGGCTGTGGGCTATGTGGACGACCAGCCTTTCATCCGCTATGACAGTCGAGTGGGCAGGGCGGAATCCCAGGCCCTGTGGATGGCGCCTGTGGACACCCAGTACTGGGAAAAGGAGACCGAGAAGCAGAGGATCTGGGAGAAAGTGCAGCAGGTGGAGATGTGGACTGTGATGGGCTACCACAACCTTAGCAGCGGTGCGTCAGGGTGGGGCATCGTGGAGAGGGGGCTGGTTGGACAGGGCATCAAAAAGGGCTGGCCAGGCAGGAAGGGTCATAAGGACAGCATCTGGAGCTGGCAGACAGGGATGTCCAGACAGTCTGGGTGGCAATGGGGTGTCTGGATGGTCTGGGGAAGGGGAAAGGCCGGATGGAGTGATCTGGACTGGCAGAACAGAGAGTGAGGACAACGCAGCGCTGGCCCCACCTTCCTGTCTTCCCTCCCAGTCTCGTCTTTAGGTGGTCCCACTTCTCTCACATACTGTGAATATCGGGCCTTTAGGCAATTCAAGCTTTTCTACTAGGGACAGATGCTGGCTGTCTTTCTGAACAACCTTCTGTCTCTTCCAGCTCCAGTCAATCAAAGGAAAGCTTTCAAAATCTTGGTTCTGGCTCCAGCAGCCATCCAGAGCCAATGGACCAGAGTCCCATGGAGCTGAGGGCCCACCTTAGCCTCCCCCTCATCTGCCCAAGGTTCCCTGCCTCACTGACTTCTCAACCCCTCCAAATGTTTCAAAACACACCCCTTCCACCTCCCTTAAAGGCTGTATCTGGCAGGGACAGCAGCATATGGGTGACTAGACCATCTAGGCAAACAGCTCAGGATGGCAGGAGAGTGAGCATGAATGAGAAGTGAAACAGACGCAAGCCAGATCAGGCCCTTCTCTGCCGTACTGAATGTAAGTGATAGAAAAGTCATTTCTCTCAGCTTTGCTTCCTCGTTTCAGTAATGAGCCGTCTTGTAAACATTGCCAGGGATGTTGCAAGAATTAATTGAAGTAATGTGTGAACTTGTTCACACTATACTCTGAGTGTTAATTTACCCTCTCATTCTGTACCAAGACACCCAAATAACCAAAATGAAAGCTACAGATCCGCAGAAGCCTCAGAAAAGTGGCAAAAAGAAGTGAGATGCTTCTGCCCTGACTTGGGTCCCAGAGCCACACTGTGAGTGGAGCACAGTAAAACCTGGCCATACCATGACCTCCAGGATAAGTATGAACAGCCCTCCCCACCCTACTGTTGTGTGACAGTAGTAGTAACAGCCAAGTCAAATGTTTTAACATTTGAAATCAAGGTGTCTCAGTCTTACCCACTGAGTGCATTTTATACTCATTTAAAAAAATAATCATTGCTCTCTAGTGGATTCTGACTCATGGTGACCCCATCTGGTACGTGGTAGAACTGAGCTCTGCTGAGATGTTGCAAACTTTACAGAAGCAGATCCCATCCATGCTGCTGCTGGGGAGTTCAAACTGCCAATCTTTCAGTTACTAGAGGAGTACAACTGGTTGTGCCACCAGAGAGACCTATTTTACACTCATAAATGGTAGATTATTTTTCCATTTTTGAAGCATATAAAATAACAGTTTGTCTTAAAGTTATGAAATTGGGTGTTCTTTCCAGCAGGTTGCTCAGCCCTGGCTATTCATGAGAATTACCTGGGAAGCATGTTTTAAAATTCTTGATGCTTTGCCCTCTTCCACACCTTCAGAGATCCAGTGGTGGTAGTCTTCTTCTGAGTAGCCTTCTTTCTTGGTGTACCCAGGCATGCACAGTGCACAGCGCATGTTCGGCTGTGAGATCCAGGAGGATGGCCGTTCCAACAGTTTCTGGCAGTTTGGCTTCAATGGACAGGACCACCTGTCACTGGACTTGGAAACACTGAGCTGGGTATCAGCCCAACCTGTGGCTTTTCGGACAAAGCGCTGGTGGGAGACAGAGCGCTGCTATGCTGAGTACGACAAGGCCTACCTACAAGGCCTCTGCCTCATCTCACTGCACAGGTACCTGGAACTAGGAGGCCAGAGTCTGACCCGAACAGGTAAGGGCCCAGCCCATGGAAATTGAAAGAGTGGCCCTCTTGCTTCACATGTGTGAGAGCCATCCACTTTACAGACAGACCTGTGAGGATGGAGAGGATGACTGCCATCCCCTTCTTGCATAAGCCTCCAGAGGCCCAGAAAGGCAGCTGACTAGCAGCATTGCAGGACAAAAGCCCCTGCCTGGATCTTTGCCCAGTGCTATGGCCTGGAATGAACAGTTCTGAGGTCTCCTGTACCTACAGTGTGGTCTTGGGTAATTAACCCCCTGACACTGGGTCTCAGTTTCTTCATCTATAGAGTAACTTGGTTAACCAGGTGACTTACGAAGTTTGAGGTCTAATGTCCTTGCTTCTGCTCCTTGGGAAATTGTCCAGAGAATGGTAACCCCCCACCAAACCAGTCCCTGGGCCAGAAAAGCTGAGGTCCCTTATCCTTATCCCTCCCCACTCTCTCATCCTTCCTTTTAATAAACTTGCTGTTCTGACCCTAGGCCTATTCAGTACCCATGTGCTAAACTTTTAAACTTTGAACCCCAAACAACTGGGCTGGAGTAATGTATCACCAAGACACAGGCCTGGGTGGACAGTAGGGAAATTGGAGTTTGGGGATCCTGAGGAATGGAAGAAGACTGCAGTCCTCAGGGAGGCTGCCTGGGGTGGTTGGGGAGACAGGGGGTGGGGAGCTGGGTCTTAGCACATAGCACCCCATTCATGGTTTTTGACTGAGATGGGGATGTGAATCTGCTGAGACAAAAGAGAAGACACTTCTTAGGAGGGAGGACAGGACAAATAAAGTCAGGAGATGGTGATATTATGAGAGCAGAGGGTGGTGGTTCAGGGCTCAGGCACTGGAGCATAACCTTCTCATCCAAATCCCAGCTCCAGGGTTTGCTGGCTATGTGACCTTGGGCAAATAACTTGCCCTCTCTGTGCCTCAGTTTCCTCAACAGTAAAATGAGGGTAATTATAGTATATCTGCCTCCTAGAAGCACCATATTGGTGAGCATTAAAAAAGTGAGCATTGAACTGTCACTAAATACCAGGCTTCATTCTAATCCCTTTTCCTGGATTATCTCATTTGAGTTCTCAGAACAACCCTGAGAGGAAGGAATGATTAAACCCCATTAAGCCTTGAGAGACAGGACGTAAGGGGCTTCCTTCAAGTCACACTAGAAAAAGTGTTGAACTAGGTTTTAACCTCTGACTCCAGAGCCCACATTTGTAACCAACCCAGTTCTGAGGTCAAAGAAGGGTCATAATCTTGTCTTCTCATAACAAACACTTATTAGATACCAACTGTGTGCAGAAAATCACAGGAAGACGGGTAAAGCCTGTAGGGAAACTCTAGGGTCACTATGGGAAGAAAGGAGGCAGGTGTATCCGTATAGGGCCAGCAATCCTGGCCAGGAGCCTCTCTTCAGGTGTTGGGGATGGGAAGTCACATCTTCCACATGGGAATTCCCACAACAATGCTCCAATGGATCAGTTGCTGATGAGTCCCCTGTAGCACCCCTGGAGAGCTACCCTGTGCTCCATCTTTTGTCTTTCATCCCTGAAGATTACAGAGGCATTGGAATAAAAACATGGGGAATGGGATGGGCACAGCTCTCAGTCGCTCACCAATTTTCTCCTCTCCTTGAAGAGCCACCCAAAGTGCAGGTGACACAGCACATGGCCCAGGATGGTAGGACCACACTGAGGTGCTGGGCCCTGGGCTTCTACCCACGGGACATCTCCCTGAGCTGGTGGCTAGGCCAGGAGGAGCTGGCCCTAGAGACTGAATATGTGGAGACACGCCCCAGTGGGGACGGCACCTACCAGAAGTGGGCAGCTATCCAGGTGTCTGCTGGGGAGGAAGCCTCCTACACCTGCCATGTGCAGCACCCAGGCCTGAACCATACGCTCACTGTGACCTGGGGTGAGGAACTGGGACTTGGCTGAGAAGGGGAGAGAAGTGGGAGGAAGGAATTCCAGGGTACCTGGGTCCAGGGTCATGGAAAAATACCTGTCCTCTTTGCCTTTCTTTTAGAATCACCCTCTCATCAAAGACTTGTCATTGGCATCGTCATCCTGGTTAACATCTTCCTAGTGGTTGTAGTTCTGGTGGTCTTGACCAAAAGACTGATTCCAGGTTGGTGAAGAAACAAAGAGGTGGGAGGTCCTCTAGAATGGAATGATCTGCTCCCCATCCCTTTACTCAGAACTGTTCCCATCTGAGGAGCATCAGCTACTGCTGAGATGCCCCTGCCTCTCACCTTCAGAGAAGCTCTCAGTCCCAGCATCCCTAACCCACAGGCACATACCTCCCTATGGGCCCTACAGATCCAGTCTCTGGAAGACCACTGGGCTGGATCTTGGAAAGGACCTAGAAAGAGAGGGAGTAGGAATTTGGGGACCCAGGGACCACCTCACCTCCTTTCTTCCCTCCCCTGCTCACCTTGTATTCACCAGTCTCTTTTGTTCTTTTTTTCCCCACAGCTAGGCATAAGGAATCATACCAGCAAGCTCCAGGTGATTTGTGGGATGGGGCTGGGTTGGGGAGAGAAAGCCCCAAGGGTTAGAGATCCTCCCAAGCTATGACTGAGATGCATTACAACCAAAGATGGAGGTGTGAGGAGGGGGTGGGCTATGTTCCCTGTCTGTTACAGTAGTCTGAGCTTTGTCCCCTCACACTATTCTGGACCATCTTCAGCCCCAGTTCTAGGAGAGGGAGCAGGGATTACTCAGGGGAGTTACCGACTGGATTTGAGGAAGGACCTGGGAGAGGGTCAGCATCACTTTCCTTCTTTCTCTTTGCAGGTGAAGAGGGTCTCCATAAATCCCAAAGCTCCTTGAGAGCAGGGGCTACTCAGTATCTCTGCTGACTAAAATTCACTGTTACAAGTCCAAGGAGGTATTTGTGGGAGATATTTGGAAGGGTCTGAAGGCCCCCAAGCTCTCCTCACCCCATCAGCCTCCTTATAAGTGGTCTGGGCCATTGAGTTGAACATTACCATCTTCCTAATGTCCTTTAAAAAATTTAGTGGTATTTCTTAATGTTTGTACAAAATTTCCTCTTTAAAAATGAACTGATACTATAGCATAAGAAGAATTCTTAATGATATATTAGATGATTTGAAAAATACCAAATTGTTTTTAAAAGAAAAATATTTCAAGATCCTAATGCATTGTTTCTAATTACTAAATCATCATTATTAATTAGATACGTTATGGTTAACACTTAGCCTGTTTCAGAAATCTTGAGTAGTAACTGAGTGTTTGAACTTCAACCTGGATTATAGAATAGTTTTGTACAGTACAACTAGGGTGATTAAGGAACAAAAAGAACTCTCAGAAATGCTACGTGATCACTTTATGTGTGCAATGGTCACTCATACCAAAGTTTAGGGATTTCTAAAAATAATGTCAGATGTTGAATTCAGATCTCTGAATGAAGTAGACAAATTGGGGGGAAAAAATCGATATAATTCTCAGTTCTGGACCTTGGTCTTAAGGAGGTACATTTATTAAGTAGACTAATACCCTTGTTTTCTTTTGCCATTTAACATAAATGCTGAACCTCACAGTTAAGTTCGCCGATAAAAAAACTCTAAAAGTTTTGTGAATATGAATAAAAGTAAATAGCCCTTGGGTTTAGCACCATAGGGAAAGGGATTTCTAAGTAGTTGACACTTCAGAAGAATTAACTTTGCTTTCTTCCTATCATTGCCTAATGTTTACCTAATATGAGTATCAATCAAAGATGGTAATCTGTACGAGAAAATATGCCCAGTTTAGACATTACTGTAGAGGACAGCAAGTGGATTAATATTTTAAGTACTCTAAATATAGTGCAGCTAGGAAGAGCTATAATAGCATCCATACTGTAAGTGGAGTCCTGATGTGGTGCTGTGGGTTAAATGCATTGTTACTGCATAGTTGGTTTGAACCACAAGGTCAGCTGTTCAAGGTCACCAGCCACTCCTCAGAATGCCTAAACAGGGTCTCTGTGAGTTGGAACTGACTAGACAGCACTTAATAACAACAATATTATAAACAGTAGAGGATATGCTCACCTAAGTTTAAGAAACCAACCAAATCACTGTAGCAACCTTTTAAAATAGCATTTTCAATAGAGAATTCCATTAAAACTAGTTTTTGACAGATATTAACTGTGTTCAGACTATATTAACTAGTTTCTATTTATATTTAAGTTCTCACATAGTGAATGCAATGATGAACTACAAAAATAAACATGAAATAAAATTTAAAAAAAACACTAGTAAGTATAAAACCTTTATTATTACATATTATTATATATTAACCTAGAAATTCTCTTTCTAATGAAAAATCAACCTTTTCTATATTAGGGCAAGTTGTAAAAACCTATTTTTTTTTGACAGAATTGTTTGAAAAACTATCTCTGGGGAATCCCAGCCACAATAAACAGTCTGGTCTCTGAATTTTATTAGTTGGTGAAGAAGTTCCTGTTGTTCTACACCTCTCTTAGGCTTCTTCAGTACAGGGACACATTCCCAGGGGCAGCAATGCCAATGGAACCCAATTAAAGCAAACTGGGAACAATCACTGATGTTATCGCCAGAAATAATGTTCTTCTAACTGGAGCAGTTAATGTGTAATCAAGGACAGAACTTTTGTGAAGTGAAATGAGAAAAAAACTTTGGAGCCACGTCTAATGGGTGGCCACCTGCCTGACATCTCTCTAGAAGAAATGACTCTGCAGCCTTTGCTGAAGAATAAAGGCTATATCTGTCATTTCATAGTTTAATTTACCCAAGTAATTAGAAAACAGTTCACCTATTGAGCAGATCACAAAATCAGCTTCACACAACTTACGTGAGTTAATTGGTAAGATGTAGAAAACAAGCCTATGTTTTGACCTAAGTGCACTTTAATGACAGTTTTCATACCGTTTCAGTGTTTTTTAATATTTCTTCTTAATTTAAATAAACCAGGAATCATATTCCCAGCACAGAGGAATAAATGGGAGTGACGTCATCAGCTTTTCGGTGATTACACTTATGAATTACTGAAAGAGCACCGGAGTAAGACCTGGTGTGCTAAAATGTCTCTTAACCTTGCTGGTCTTAGTATCATGTATCAAATGAGTCCTGTTGTGGCACTGCAGGATAATGCACTAACTAGACTGGTTGGTTTGAACTGCAAGGTCAGCGGTTCAAACCCACTAGCCACTCCTCAGAAATCCTACACAGGGTGACTATGAGTCAGAACTGATTCAACAGCACTTACCAACAACATAAAATGAAGAGAGTAGACTAAAGGATCCATTCTTTAACATCATGTGTAATTGTGTTTAACTAACACACACAAAAAAGTGATAGCCATGCCTGGGAATGTAACCTAAATGAGTAAATGCTTTGGTTTGCTCAGAAAACACTATGAACCTCTTTTCAAAGATAGAATGTGATAAATATTGAATATTTTGTTTATGAAAAATAAGTTTCTTTGAAGCTTTAGTTGGAGGTACAGCAATAGTATGGTATTCCAACAAATATCACATACAAATATACAAACAGTATTTTCTATCAAAAATCATGTTTGTGTAAGCTCTCAGTGTTTTATGTAACTTGTGATAATAAATACTATCTTTTAGAATAAAAACAAAATTTAAACCCAAGGCTCAGAACAATAGTGAAGAATTGTGGGGTGCATGCTAGCATCTAGGAAAATTGCCTCTTTTTATAAATGTGTTCTTATATGTATGTATAATCCCCTTTTGTAAAGCAAAATGAAAGTGCTAATGGGTATGTGTGGAAGAGTGTTGGAGGATTGGGGGCGGAGGGAATGGGTTGAGTGTATATGTTGTGTGCAATGGTATGTGGGGGAGGAGTGTGTCTTTATTGATGTGAGAAGAAATCCATTTCTTCAGCTCCCCCTGGGCTGCTTAGGATGAGAAACTACACAGTACATATTTTGTAGTGTGAATTGTGTATGAAATGCAGAGCAGAGCCCAAGAAGGTGAGAAGCATTTGAATTGGGAAAAAGTTTCAATCAGTGTTGGTGAACTGCATGACCTTAGCAGTGTGCTGGTAGCTGTCAGATTTTATTAAACGATGTGTCTTAAATATGTCTGTCTCAGGGACACTGTCGTAAACTGTCCAAACAGGGTTCCAAGAACTTTACATGTACCTAGCCATTTAGACTTCATAGTAGCCCCATGCAGTAGAACTAATAATCCTGTGCTGCAGTGGGAGGGACTGAGGCCCAAAGAACTCAAGTGTCTAGCCCAGGGTCTCATAATCCTGGCAACCAGGGTGTCTCCGGCTCATGCCAAAGGCAGGACTGGAGATCAGGCAGCCAGTCTGGATGCTTCACAATGGAACCAGAAGCCTCAATTACTACTGTACTATTTTGTAAAAGAATAGGTAAGCACAGGTCTGCGATCTCTTATCTACAATTTTAAAAGCCAAAAACGAAAGTGACCCAAGCTGAAGTGAGGTTATTCATACTCTTTGCTCCCTTTAGTGTACCTTTTCACAATTTTCTGTGGGAATACTAATGTATGTGGTTATGGAGTATGACCCCAGACCCCTTTGGGAGTATTATGTGACATTCAACATATACATTTTAGGGCCTTTCAAAAGTCCAAAGAATTTTAAGTTCTGAAATAGGTATTAATATGATCTTATAGTAATAAATTCACCAGCTGCTTCTTGGATACCCTATACAGGATCTCTATGAGTCAGAACTGACTTGGCGGCACTTAACAACAACATAGAAATAAATATGGACCTCAAGTTCAGTCTGAACTTCAAGGTTGGTGGTTCAACTTCACCAGCTGCTTGCTCCTCAGAAACCTTATACAGAATCACTATAAGTCAGAACCAACTCAATGGCACTTCACAACAATAACAATAGTAATAAATAAGAGTCCTGGTAGCATAGTGAGTTATGAATTAAACTGCTAATCACAAGGTCAGAAGTTCAAATATACCAGCCACTCCAAGGGAGAAAGATAAGGCTTTCTGCTCCCATAAAGATTTATAGCTTCAGAAACTGTATAAAGGTTGCCATGAGTCAGAAATGATTCTATGAAACACCACCATCACCACCAGTACTAAATGTGTTTTAATTTGGTAGAAGCACAGTTGTTTGGCTGTACTGTACAAC